TTTTTTATTTGCCAGGAACATATTTTGCAAGACAAGCTAATTGTGCTCATGAGTTTACAGATTGCGGTGGAAATAAGTTCAGTGCTAGATGGACAGCTGATAGTGGATTTATGGAATCTAGAGAATTTTTCAGGTCTCAGGTACAAATGCCAACTTTAGGATCAAAATACCCTCAGTTTTTAAACCAACCCTTCATCACAATTCCTGGCTTTCACACTGATCAGGATAGTGATGACATGACCAATGGCAGACCTAGATATAAGACTCAGACTTCACTTGCTTACGAGAATGGCACTTCTGACATCTGGTCACTCTTCAACACTCAAACTCATCCACTGAGTCACTATATGATAGTAGCCAAAGTTTTAATAGGACGCTACACTACTGGAATAGCTGGCTTACAGCGCCCACCACCCTACGATCAAAGGGACTCATTAGTCAGGCTGTATGATAGCTGTGTGGATAGTATTCTAAATCCTGAAAAGTTTGTTATCTTTGATAATAATCAGGCTTATCCAGAATATGTTATTGAGTATCGAGATCTCAGGTGGAATAAATAACTCAGGTTAATATATTCAACATTGTTTAAATGATGTGGCATTAATAATAATAATAATAATAATAATTTTATTTATAAAGCACTGTTAACAAACAAAATGTAGGCTCAAGGCGCTGTAACAACATTACAAACAAAAACACGAGAGCTAAAATGACAGTTAATCTTACAAAGTTTTAAACAGATAGGTCTTAATGTTCTTAAAAGTGGTGTAGCATGTTGTCTGTCTGAGATCAATGGGGAGTGAGTTCCAAACCTTTGGTCCACGAACTGAAAAAGCCCGCACACCGTAGCTTTTGAGTCCATTGAGCGCAGGGCTCTCTGGGGGACATATGGAGTAATCAGTTCGCTAAGGTACAAGGGCATCTCGTTGTTATATATACACTGATGACAAAGTGTGGCGACCTTGTAATCGATTCTCGCTTTCACGGAAAGCCAATGGAGCGTTATCACGAGCGTCTAGTTTTTTTATGGACTATTCGAGCGGCGTTGTTCTGTATACGTTGCAGCTTGGCTATTTTGTCATCAGGTATACCTGCTAGCACGGCGTTGCAGTAGTCAATGCGGGAGAGTATGAATGCCACAGCTAGCGTTTTTTTTGACTCCGTTGTTAAATATGGTCAGATCTGGCCTAATCTGCGCAGCTGCAGATAAAGACCTTTGCAGAGCTGACTTATGTGTGGGTCGAAAGATAGTGTTGAGTCGAAGAAAACTCCAAGATTCCGCACTACATGGACAAAAGGAACATGGCAGTTCGTGATAAAGAGAGAATCTGTGCTTTCAACTTTTGAGACATTGTTCCTAGTGCCAATCTTAATTATTTCTGTCTTGTCTTCGTTCATCTTGAGTTTATTTTCAACCATCCAATTGCTCACCCTTGGAACGGTACTACTGATTTTCTCTGCCAGATGCAACACCTCTGAGGGTACTGATGAATCGTATAACTGTGAGTCATCAGCAAAGAAATGGTATAAGATGCCGGTTAGCCATATGACACCGCTGAGTGGATATGTGTACATAGTGAACAGTACTGGGCCTAGAACTGATCCTTGGGGTACTCCGTACTTCAAAAGTAAGCTTGTTGATTCCGTCCCGCTAACAACGACTCTTTGGGTGCGTTCCGTCAGGTAGGATCCAAGTCACTTTAGGACGACTCCTGCTAAACCAAAAGTTGCAGAGAATCTGGCCATCATAATTTCATGGTCTAGCGTATCAAAGGCTGTGGACTAGTCCAGCATGGAAAGAATTGATATGTGGCCTTTGTCGGAATTGTGAAGTAAGTCGTTTAGTACCCTGACCACTGCTGTCTCTGTGCTACGGCACTTCCTATATGCCAATCTTAATTCTTCCAAGAGACAGTACTGTTCAAGATGAGAAAGAATTTGCGCTAACACGATGCACTCCAGAAACTTTGACAGGAAGGGAAGATTTGATACCGGGCGATAGTTTTTTAGACATTCTGGGTCAAGACTGGATTTCTTTAATTACATTTTGGAACATTTTCACTAGATGCTAAACTAATTGTATTCACATAGGGGCTAGTACATTTGAAAACTAAATAGCTACTACATCAAATATGATAGAGAATGAGACAAAAAAATTAATTTCCTCCCTTTGTCTGGGAAACAGTGGGATGATCAGTTTTCTGGCACATCTTAGTAAACAGGACTTTACATTGTGATGGTGGTAATCTTGTTTATTACGTTGTAAGGAATAAGGGAAATAGAGCTATTCATTGTAATAAAGAAGGGAAATAGAGCTATTTGTTGTAATGACTAAGGGAAATTGTGCTATACATTGAGATGATTTTTGTTCATTTTTTCATGAAACAGTGTTTTATATATTAATCATAACTTTTTTTTTATTTGTAGTTATTGGATTATTTATTAGTGTAACAAATATTCAAATTTAAATTCTCATAATCAAAAAAAATCTGTATATATGTATATATGACAACTTTGTTTTTATAAAATGCAAATGAACCTATTATGACATTGTGGTAGCTATGCTAACAGAATCAAAATATAACAGTTTTCCACAACATCTCATGTTAAACACCTTCAGCTAATGAAAGTGGCCATAATCAGGGAGGGCATCAGTCTGATTTTAGTGTGGAGGGCTATTCCTTTGTGTTTCCATATTGTTTGAGCTTTGAAAGTGCTTTCTGTGGACTGTGCTATTCTGGCCAGTAGTTCAGGATTGGTTCCTTCATCTGAGACGATATCTCCGAGGTATTTAAAACTAGTAACACTTGTCACTTTCCCCTCCAATACTGATGTCCCTTTTAAAGCCCTGTTGGCTATTGGTCATAATTTTTGTTCTTTCGGCATTTATTTGCATACCTCATGTTGCAAAAGTCTTGTCTATCCACATCACCAAGTCAGCAAGCTATTCTGCTGCCCCTGCCAGACCATCTATGTCATCCGCATAGTGCAAGTTAGTATGGTCAAGGCCACAATCTTATATGCTTGTGAATCTTGGGTGCTGACTGCAAAACTAAAGAGGAAGATCCTAGCAATGGAATTGAGATGCTACAAAAAGATACAATGTATCGCATACAAAGACTGCATCACAAACAAAGAGATAAGAGACAGAAGTAGTACAGCCATTAGACCTCACGATGATCTGCTAACTACTGCCAAAATACACAAACTAAAACTCTATGGCCATATCACAAGGTCCTTAGGGCTAGCAAAGACCTTCCTTCAGGGAACAGTACCAAGAAAATGAAGAAAAGGCAGACAGAGAAAGCAATGGGAAAACAACATAAAAGAATGGATGGGCCTGTCATTGAAAGAGATTCTATCCAAGGCAAAACACAGAAATGGAGAAAGATAGTCAACAGATCTTGTGTGGTGAAAAAATGGTCCAACAGATTAACCTTGGATAGGTGAAGGTGATGATAGTGCTATATAATCAACTTTTAAAAAAGAACATTTTCGCTTGTATTTCATAGTCTCGATTATACTAATTTTAACTTGCTCATTTTGTCTTGGACTTCAGGTATAACTTGCTTCCCTTTCAGGTTTTACTTAACAGATAAAGAAGGAATTATCATTTCAATATCTTAATGCCTTTGTAACTGATATTTTTTTTTTACTGTTTTGGACTCTATGAAGTAGTTCTTCAATGATTTCAAAAAAAAAAAGTTTCTCTTAAATCTAATTTCCTGTTGTAGTTAAATAACAATTTATCACCTTCAAGACTGATCTTGAGAACAAGGAAATCAAGTAGGGATAAATGATGAAACTTCTAAATACCACTGTCTTGGTGTCACACAATTATTTATTATTGTAATGTTAAAACTGTTTATGACAGTTATAAAATTTGATGAGAGATCTGATAATAGAAGCATTATTATTGAAATAGAAATGAGATTGGACACATTAAAGGATGATGATAAATGAATTTCCAGGAACAGCACCTTATTAGAGGCCTTAAGTGAAATGGAAATAGTGATGACCAAGAAAAACATAGGAAAGAAATGGAAGGCCAGAGATCTACTAGTACTAGAGACCAGCAATGTTATATTGATCACCCCAAGTCTCCTGGACACTGATGGGACATTTAAATAAAAAACTTTGGATTATTATTACATTCACAGTACTGTAGACAGTGTACTATAAGCTTATTGTTATTGTTGTAGCGCTCATGTTTATGTTTGAAATGTTATCTCAGCGCCTTGAGCCTACATTATGTTTGTTAACAGCACTCTATAAATTAAATTATTATTGTTATTCCTATCACAAGATAAGATTGATTTAGAGTTTTTAATGTAACATTGAATGAATACATTTGGTTTGCTTGATTTTTTATTTGATTTCTATTTCTACTTTTATTTCTAAAGATGTTTTAACTACTCAAATTTTTGATGCTGTATTTGTGATAGGCCTACATTGATAAGTTTTAACTTTCTCACATTTTTTTTTGTCCATAATTCTTACATTTATTTTTTTTGGTCAAATTACTGTTAATTGTAACTTACGATTGCAAAACAATGGCCTTTTTAATAACCACTGTGTAAGTCATAGATGCAGTCATATACATTTTGTAGTAAGACATGAAAATTAAAAAAAAAAATCTTTCTTTACCATCATCATTTGAACATCCCATTAGCTGCCAGGAAAATAAATATATATGCAAGAGTTATAAATATTAAATTAACATGATCAGATAGATAAACAAATGTAGCAAATTTGGTAGCAAAGAAAACTGAATATTATAATTTTGTATAGCAAGTGCACACAAGACCTTTACAAAGTACTTAGCTTTACTTTGTTTGCACTAATAGGCTCTATCTAGGATATTAAAGAAAAAGTTATATCATATACCTTTTTTTTTTTCAATTAGATTCAATTTATATGGAGTGAATAAAAAAAAAACTACTTGAACTTTTCCTTCATTTTTTTTATCTTCCCTCTAATTCTCTTCACTCCTCTTACGTTTTGTTTGTGTAAATTTAAAAGCTTTTTGTTTTGTACCAGCAAGTTGTCAATATACCAGGCAATTAAACTAATACTGTCACATTATCCATTGTTTTAATAATTATACATTTGTCAACACAACTTAAAGTTTCAATTGACAATTTAGTCATTTTTTCCCATTTTAAACCATTGAATGGTCCAGCTTGTTTACTTTCTGACACATAATTCATTTATTGTAAAGTTGCTTCAATTCAATCATCATTTCTATAGTTGAGAATGATATATTTTACTAATAAGTACCAAGTCTTTCTTTAAAAAATATACTATTTGAAAATAAAGTGTTTTGAACAGAAGTCTTAAAGATTTCTAAATATTTTTGTTCAACTATTGTGTGTGTGTGTAAATATTGTTAATGTTGATGTATCATGTTGAAGTTAAAATCTGTGAAATTTGGCCTTTTTTTTTCCCTTATATTTAGTATACTAAGTAGGTGCTACTGGGGCTGCATAGTCACTGGAAATACTGCATTTCTCATTAATCTTGAGACTCGAAGACAAGCCTTATTATTATTTTTTTCAAGTGGTACATCACTTGTCTTCAGGTAACGAGTTCAAATCCCAGTGAAGAGTAGGAGTTTGAATTTATTTTTATAACCTCCTTGAGTCCACCCACTTCAAATGGCTGACAATAGTTAAGCAAAGTAAAGGCAGTTGGTTATTGGGCTGGTTACAAGAACATTCACCATCGTTTTTTTTTCTTGTTAAATTAACTAATACTAAAACTAATTCAACCATTTGTTTTATAAATACAAAGGAATAATAATTACTGTGGTTTTCTTTCATTTTTTTTTCGTCTAAAGCTAGTAAATTTTTATGGTAGGAAAATAAGATAAATTGAAAAACTTAAATATAAACTTGATTGCTTTCCCTTTCTCTCCAGGAACGGGATGTTTGAAATAGCCAATGACAAAGCTGTCTCTAACTAACAGGCATGGCATATGAAGGAATGTCTGTGAAATAAATCTTTCTATTGCTTACGCTGGCAATGTTTGGGAGAGTGACCTCTTGGCTACCTTGCTGGGGGATGAGGGAGGCTTGTCTCGAGATGAGCGCCCACGGACATCTCGTAAACCTTTAGATACCCCCCCCCCTTCCCCTCCTATGTCCACAAATAATAATGGGCCAGATCACAGTGACCATGCTACACAAAACCAAAAATAATTTCAATCAGAGGCGGCGAATTTAATAATTAATTACGCCATTTCTGTACCCACTCAATTTGATTTTGAACTTGTTGGTTACTGCTCCTCAAAGTTTGATAATTATAGACGTTTTACGTCCACAGCCAGTTGCATAACAAAAACAAACTGATTGATACCACCAGACCCATGCCGTGGATTCTCAAAGTGTTGCTCTAGTTTTCTATAAAAAAAAAAACAAGATTTTATTTAAAAAATCAAAATAAAAAAAAGTTTTTAAAAAATGAGGCTTATACCTATTAATTGTAATTGTATCAATTAGTTTGGATGAATCGTGATTAAATTAAATACATCTAGGCTAACAATAATAAATGTGTGCCATTAAAAATATTTTTACCAATGTTAAGCGCAATTTAATGTTTTTAGCTTTCTCAGTGCGCTATGATCGTCTTATCACTTGTCTGAACCAATTGGGAAAAACAAAAAAAAGGGGGGATTATGTGTGAATGTTTCCATGATCGCTTTTCAAATGCATTTAAAAAAATGTTCACTCAGAGCGCAAGCCTCCTCAAGGGGAATAATTCAATATAAACGGCTTATACCACCACATGTCAAGTACGATGTCTTGCCTTGTTCTTTACCAAACAAAATAATTAATTACCAATATTTAATTAACTAATTTGTATTTTTTAAAATTGATTCTGGTTTTGTCCGGTACAAGAAATAATTGCGCCAAATTTCAACTTGATGCGAGATTGGGTGTGGGAGAAATAACGTGTACGAACCTTTTACCAGACAGAGTGAGTTGATATAAGCTTTGTAAAAAGGGTGTACATTTAAAAAGGGTGTAGGCCTACATTTACAGATGGATGGCTGCCTGGTCGTGCGGTTTGCGCGCTGGACTGTCGTTCAGATTTATCGATGGTCCCGGGTTCAAACCCTGCCCGCTTCCATCCCCCGTCGTCCTGCGGGAGGTTTGGTTTGGTTAAGAAGTAATTATCTTCAGCTCTGAAGGAACATCCGAAACATGTAAAACAAATTAAAATTGAGCCTGGATTTAAACCCAAAGGTCATACAGGCCTAAAGCTTCTGTAACTTTCCTATCATTTGTTAATACTGCTAGACGTGTAGGTCTAGTCCAAAGTAAAATTTGAATAAATCATTGCTTCCTATAGAGTACTATAGACTATCTACACGCCTAAACGTACAAATTTACTCATTCATTTTTTTTTTTATCTTTATCGTTTTTTAACACAATTCCAGCAGGTCTGCATAGGCCTGTATCTCTAACCCTAGGACGCTACAGAATATTGCTGATATTATAAAGAGTGATTTGAATCGCGAGGTTTTATTTTTCTTCATATTGATTCTTGAGACAGATGGCGTATAACTGTAGAACTTAATGCATAATGTGAGAAGCGCTGGTTTTGGCTACTTTAATCTTATTTCATCTCTCATATTTACCGAGCCACTGCTTTCATCCACTCATTATTCAAAGTAGTTACGCGCGCGACAGGAAATGCTCTCTTCAATTGGTTGCCTAGCAATGTTTTGTTTTTAGTAGTAAGAAATAGTAAGCACATAAGCCAGTTTGGATAGAAAAAGTTAGTTTGGCTACACGGATGCAGGAACTGATCTTTAATGATAGTTATTGTATATAAGAGGATATTTAATCTAATCAAAGCTTTTCTTATTGAGAGGTTGTTGTTTTTTAATGCATAGCTATGATAGCAGCATATGCGTGTTTCTGATTTCTGAAACCAAATTTTATTCACCGCATTCATTTCAAAGTTTCACAAAAGATACTTGGAGAGAGCTGACATGTCTTGAATATACTTGAGTGCACGTCTGCGTGTGACCAACGAACACAGACTGCACTTCATGCTTCGCATTTCGATTTGCTTCTTTGATAAGATCGTGCGATTGGTTATGTTAGTCTAGTCCCTGATGGCACATTCTCATTTTCTCTTCTGTCCCTCGTTCTCTTATAGCTGGTTCTAATAAAACAGACTCAAAACGACACCCGCACCACACAACGAAATTTAGACGTCAATCTATCATGTCTATAATGCTCAGTGACGTGCTGGTCTCACGGATGCTCAGAAATAAGCTCAGCCTCAACTTATCAGCACGTTCTCAGTTAATCATCTACCATCTTGGTGAGCTGGCTTAACATTTTGATTAGACGCTGTGTGCATCTGTCAAGTGGATTAGTCAAGTTAATGAGGGCGTACATTAGGCTGCTTCATCTACAGACCTACAGCCAAGTATAAATTTAACACCAGCATCTTAGTGCTATTAGAACTATTAAAAACCAAGTCTAATGCAATGTTGCTGGGTTGTTAGGTATTTTCTTCTTATCTTATTAATTTCAGACCTTAAAAAAATAACATAATTACGGTGCGTCCTACGCGTATTTGTACCAACTTCTGCAGTGGGACTTAAGTTGAAATGAGAATTGCTGTTGTTTATATCTCGACACTAAAGTTCTATTTTCTTTTCTTTTTATTGTTGTTTACTTTTTTTAAAAATGAATTTCACTTACTTCAAAAGTGAAAATTTAAAAAGACTGAAAAATAGGGAAAAAACAATGATGTATAATTGTCATATAATTGAAACCCAACTGATTCAGAATCACATTTTAACAAATATAGGCTAATTAATTTTACACCCTCAACACCTAAACACGCGTGGATTAATTAAGGTGTGCACATTGACAGTCAGTATTTGTCCATTATATAACTTATGCCTCCCTCAAAGCCAGCATTAGTCCAAGTTGCCCGTTACGTAACTTGTGCTTCGCTCACAGCCAGCACTTGCCCATGACATAACTTGTGCTTCGCTCACAGCCAGCACTTGCCCATGACATAACTTGTGCTTCGCTCACAGCCAGCACTTGCCCATGACGTAACTTGTGCTTCACTCTCAGCCAGCACTTGCCCGTTACATAACTTGTGCTTTAATCTCAGCCAGCACTTGCCCATTACATAACTTGTGCTTCGCTCACAGTCAGCACTTGCCCATGACATAACTTGTGCTTCGCTCACAGCCAGTACTTGCCCATGACATAACTTGTGCTTCGCTCACAGCCAGTACTTGCCCATGACATAACTTGTGCTTCGCTCACAGCCAGCACTTGCCCATGACATAACTTGTGCTTCGCTCACAGCCAGCACTTGCCCATGACATAACTTGTGCTTTACTCTCAGCCAGCACTTGCCCATGACATAACTTGTGCTTCACTCTCAGCCAGCACTTGCCCATTACATAACTTGTGCTTTACTCTCAGCCAGCACTTGCCCATTACATAACTTGTGCTTCACCGCTAGCACTTGCCCAAGTTGTCAATAACAAATCGTGTGCTTCACACTTAGCCAGTCTACATGTACGTACAGTTAACAGACACTTGATTTCATTAAATAAATACATTCAATATGATGGACACGAAAAAAAAAAGAGTTAAAATTATTTAAGGGCCGATTTTTCTTATAAAAAGAGGAAATGGGCGGAAATTGGCATGATGGGAAGACATATTCTTGGATTGCGTGGGAGTTCTACGTGAGTAAACAGTGTCAAGTGGACACAACTGGACAGGATTGGAGGACGGCAGCAGACGTCACTGGCACCGCTATATAATACAAGTGGCATGCAGTCATTGGTTCAGTTGGTCATTAGAGTAGATTTAGGACACGGTGACTAGGTTAAGAATTCCTTTTCTAATTAACGAAAAGTAAAAGTGTGTTGTTTTTTTATTTAAAATTTCAGTATTCTTCTTAGCAGGACTTTTTAAAATTTAGTTTTAAGACACAAAGTGAAACACAACATTGATAGTTATTCTGACTCATCACAGGCTATACTATCAATTAAGAACTAGTTTCCTTGATAAAATGGCTGTTTGTTACAAGAGAAAACGTATAAGTTTAACACGACATGTGAACATTCATTCTATTCTATCTATATTTTTGTTGGGTAGCTTCATTTTGCAGTTGGCAGAAAGTAGCTCGCAAACTCAGGATAAAGAAAAACTCCTCAAGAACGACATCAAAATTCTGGCCTCTTTGTTTCCAGGAAGCTACAGCAACCTTCACCAGTACCACAAACTCGCTCAGAGGGGGCTGCCTCCCAACAAGAGGAGCCTCCTCATCCGCTCGGAGTT